CCATTTTTGTCTGCAATATATACTTAAAGTGTGTCGAATGCACCCTCGCCACATTTTTTCAATATCTGAAGCCAGATTGCCATAAGGCTCATCTTCCCTCAGTGATTCTAGCATGTTTTCTAGGCAAATTGATGTCTCTTTTTTATGGGATAAATCATAATTTGATGCCTTGATACTCCGTTTTAATGAAAATCCCTAGCAAGACTGTGTACTAGTAGATGCACAGTGATTTATTGGTGATTGTAACAGTACCTGGATCAAGTGCGCTGTTGTAATATTTTTCACATCATTGATGTTCACGGGCTTTGATTACCAGTGGAGCTGATAATCATGTTGATGTTGAATTGTTGCTCTCATCGCAATAAAATTTAGAAATTGGGAAGTGTAGTTGTTGCAAGGTGTTCTCATGTGTACAGCCCCCCTCCTTTTCTCTCTCTCTTCTCTCCTTTTATGCCCGATTTCAGGATTTTTGAGTCTTCATTTTGATAATTTTTACATTGCAGGCTAGGTTTTCTGGATTTTCTGTTATAACATTTTTAACCGTTTCTCTCTCTCTCTCTCTCTCTCTCTCTCTCTCTCTCTCTCTCTCTCTCTCTCAAAACAGAATTTGGATTAAACAGGAGGAAAGAGGTTCACTCAACACATAACCTAGTAGCCTGATGCCACAAGTTAAAGCTATTTCTGCTCTAAAAGAGTCTTGGTCTGAATGAGGCTTTTGACTGAAAACGATGTCCATTGCTTCCCAATCTTGCTGCTATTGGGAATCCATACAACTGCACTGGGATCAGATAAACCCACGCGTTGGGAATAGCTTTGAAAATACTCGTCCTATTCAAACACATCCTTTTGCTGAGAACCATGTGCGGAAACTCCCCTGTAAAAACATATTATTACTGTAATGGGATAACTGCTGGTTTTGAAATGGTATTCCAGTTCTGTGAAAAGCATTGCTTGTGTTATCTAGGAAGTTGTATAAGCTGGCAATATGTGCTGTAATTTTTGCTCTGCCTCTGGGGGTTTCCTGGAATTGTGGGTGACTTTACATCTGGTACTGTTGGACTCAGGGCAGATGAGTGCAGGTGGAAATAGACCGCCATTTCAATATTTTGATTAATTTCTGGTTCTGAGTATTAATTTCTGGACGATTTGCTGTTTTCATAACCTGTCCATTGCAGCATCATCTATGTGTAGATACAGGCCTGTTTGAATTCTCTAGCTAGCTACCATCACAATTTTATCGCAGAATTCCAATTTTCTGCACAAGGAATAAAAACGGGAATCAGTGCGCTGGATCTCTGATTACTCAGCTATTTGTGAAGATTTTTATATCTTAGATATGATTTATTGACTGTTTCCATGATGAATTTTATTTGAGGCTCTCCCCAGTGTCCATAAATGCCATATTGACTTTAGAAACTGTCTAAACATCTTAGCCTGCATAAAAATCAATATGGCGGTAGGAGACAAATCTGATAATCCTGCAGTTTACTTGCCGTCCAGAATTTCTGGAGATTTGGACTATTTTGGTCAGTTATCTCAGGTCAATTCTTGAACCATTTGATCTACTACTCACTGGTAAATTTCAAGATAATTTCAGCCAAAATCTTTTTTTTTTTTTTATATATATATAATATAAAAGTGAAATTGGGAAAATTTGTCAGTTGTACCAAGTAATCATATATTTTTAAAAAGATTTTTCAAGTATTTGTCTACAAAATGTTTATGCTGGTATATTCATGACAAAATTATGCTACACCAGTATTATTATTTTTATTTTTTATGAATTTATTTATTTATGATATACCCCTGCGTGATTTATCTGGCTGTTATACATATTGCACCAGATCCTTTCTGTGCTATACTTTTTGGCAGAGGAAGTTTTAATTTCGAAAAAAAAAAAAGATTGAGATTATCATTTTCGACTTGTTTTCTCAATGTGTTCTCTTGTTTTCTCGTTGCTCTTGTCAAAAAGTCTCACTGTACTTCATTCTCCATTTTGTAACATACATCAAAACATACAAGTTAAACATATTGGAAAACCATTAAGCCTCTCCCAGCATCTTGTCTTCTGCCCAGTTTTCTAAATTTGATTTCTAGTGTCTACCTCCCAGTGTCCTCTCAATCTTTCTTTTTTTAGCAATTCCCAGTGGCAATGCAGGAAGGTGCTGCGCATGTTTTACTACCCACGCCCATATCTTGTTTCCTGCTTTTTTCATTTCAAGAGCTATTCGTGTTTCTAGGCAGCTCAAAAATAGTTCAGGTACATACCAGAACAGTACACTTGTCCATTAGAAAAATGTCACACAGTAGAAAATATTAGGTGGCCACTACATGATCTGCAATTAGATTTACTTAAGGCTGCAGGCATGACTTATTTAGTGACTAACATTACCGTACTGTTATTTAAGGGCGCATTTCCAAATGGGGAAAATTGTATATATACCCAATAAAACCAATGTTCTACATACTAGATTGTTCTAACTCCACAGGTTCTTGCTGCAACCAGATTAACAGGGCTTTTGTTTCCAATGTACTCATATAATCACCTGCTTTTCTGTGTTTTACTCGACACCAAGAGAAGACATGTTAATCTGATTGCATTCAGCTAGAGTCCCCGCAGAGTTGGATCGATCTTCATAGAACACTAGATTCATTGGAAATGAGCCCTTACCTATGACTCTCAGTGAGGGTCTTCATGCAATGTGCAACGTAATTAACTTAATTTCAATTTCCTGGTGCATTCCTTGTGATGCTTGTTAGGTTTCAGTGTACAAGGCACTATTAAGCATTATCATGTAGCAATAATAAGGCCTCTGTAATGATCACATTTTCTCACATGGACTGGTTTCTTGGATCTCTTCTATTCCAATGTAATTTAGTACTGCAGGAATTGCTTGACTAAATTTAAACAGATTTAGAATTTTTTTATGTGGCATAGTCATATACGAGTCAAATGCAAAATAAATTTTACAGATTTTTTCAAATGCTTCTTTCTTGAAAAATTAGAATTTAAGAGTTTTCATTTTAGATTCCAAACTTCAAGCTAATAGGTGGACCCCAATATGCGAATGCGGTAAATAGTATCTACTGCACCCTATGACACAAATAACACAGTCCAGACATTCTTGCAATGGTTTTGTACTCCTTTGGCCTTCACTAACCTATGCTTTTGGCAGCAGAGGTAACTGAAAAAAAAAGAAAACAGCTAAATTTCTGCTGCACAGCTGGTGTAAATATTCCTGCAATTCTTGTAACTGTGTTGATGTAATTTAAATGAGTTATTGTGAATGTAAAGCGTGGGTTGGGTTTAGGTTCTTCAGTTAAACTTTTCAAGTTCCTATTTACAAAGTAACTAGTTCCAGATTTTCAGTTAAGCCTGTGAAATAAAGGAAAGAAGAAAAACTATAAACAAAATGGATCCCAGACAACCAAACATTTAAAGAAATGTAATGTTTCCCAAAAAAATTAGGTTGGTTAGAGGTCTTGTATATTTGTATAACTTTAAGTTTAGCTTCTTATATTATATCACTTAAGGAGTCGGTGTTCTCCAATGTTCTGTGGTCTTTAAGAACCAGTATATGTATTTTTCTGTGAAAACAGTTCAAAACACCATCTTTGTGTAGGCAAGATAAGGCTTATTTCTGTTCCCCTGAGTGAAATTACACTTGCACGTAATCCAAAAATGTGTAACTTAACCCAGCAAATCACTTTCCTGTAGGCTTTCAGTGACGTACAGTAGTTAGTGGAGAAATTGACTTAATTATCCTTCTGTTACAGTTCAGTTTAGAATTTCAGTATGGTAGCTGAGAGAATAGGACAAACTTTCTGCTGAAATTATGTATACTAAAGAGGAATATACATGCATATTTTGTTTTATATTTTAAATTTTTAGGGGGAGGGAGGGAGGGATGAATATGATATTTGAATGAATGAATGGCATGTCTAGAATTTGTACTAAGCAACTATTGTGACTGGGCATGACAAAAGTGATAATGGTGTCACCAAATAGCTGATTCCAGGAAGGGAGAAAAAACCTGCCCCCCCCCCCCAATACACACACACACACACACACACACACACACACACACACACACACACACACAGAGAGAGATGTAGGTCATTCACCTCAGATCTCGGTAGACTGGAAGTTAATTTGTACGTTATTTTCATTGACTGTTTTAATGTAGTGGGTCATGTTTGAACAGGGCTGGTAATAGCAGATCAATGAATTTGAGGTTAAAATGGAATTGACCACGAAAGGAAAACTGAGGCACCCAAGTACAGTTGACATCTTAATTACCAGTAATTGTTGCTCTTTTTGTGTAGTTTGAAACTCTTCCTCTCTGTAGCATCTTCAGTATTTCTCAATGTTTAAAAAATAAAAAGAGTGAGTATTTGAAAACAGTGTCATTAAGGATGTGGCCAAGTTGCTGGAGGCAAAAAAATTAGTCTGCCAAATAAATATGTTCAGACTGTCTTGAGCAAGATATAAGCTGATATCAGAATTTGTCACTGTACTTCTTGTGCCATTGTCATTGCTGCAATGTTTTTTTTTCTTTTTTTGACCAACATGCCTAAGGATGTTATGTTAAGGCAGTGTATTTCAGTCTTCTTAAACAAACAGACTTTCATTCTATTAATGATGTTTCGTGCAGTTGAAATCAATTGCCCAAATAAGCTTCATTAAAAGGTGTTTATGACTTAATCAGCTTAGTTCCAAGGTAAACTTTGAGGTTGAACATTTTACCTGGCATTATTCAGAACAAATTTTATTGCCAACACAATTACGGCATAAGGTGTACAATTTAATTTTATGAGCAGAACATACTATAATATTGTTCATTTACAAGTCCTACCACAAAAAAAAGAAAGAATGAAAGAAACAAACAAACAAAATAAAAAATGACATACAATTTTTTCTCTTTATAAATATCTGTTTGACACTTATATATTTTATATGATTATATAATTATTATTTTTTGATTTTATGATAATTCCAGAACCAAGCCACACTAGTCAAAGACTTGGAAGAGCAGCTCCATTCTCTACAAGGAGGCCAGCCAACGGATATGAACACACTGAAAAGAGAACGCGACCGGCAAGCCAAAGAAATCAAAATTTTACGCAAAACAGTCCAGGAGATGGAACTGCGCATCGATACCCAGAAACACACTCTGGGAGCTCGTGACGAGAGCATAAAAAAACTCCTAGAAATGTTACAAAGTAAAGGGTTGGCGGTGAAACACTTGGAGGAAGATCGCTTGGAAATGGAGAGGATTCGTGCAAAGTTGATGGAGGATGAGAGAACGGTGAAGCAGTTGGAGGGTTTACTAGAGCAGCGTGATAAGGAAATAGTTCAATTAAAAGGGGTAAGTGCACTAGTACATAGTTAAATTAACTTAAATAAGATGGTAGAAGGGGCCATTTAGAATGAGTTAAGGCACAATGGTTTTTGTTTCCAACATTCAGAATGAGGAAGTTTGCAATAGCTTTTCTGTATTCTAGTAACACTAACAGGAGGCGAGTAAGTCTGCTAATCTGATTGCATTCAGCAAGAGTCCCCACAGATTTAGTGCTCAGTAGCTATTGAGGCCTTCCTCATTCTGAATGGCTCCTTACGACATAGACTTTCCCATCTTTGAATGCTGTATGCAACAAGAAGCATGCTTTTAGTACACTATATACTTTGAATGCTAATCATATGTACCTTATTTTGAATCAGTGATTTAATACTGGGGGATAACACCGAAAACCAGTTTTTACCAGCAAAAGTTATTAGTGTCTTCCATGGCACATGTGCAGCTTTTACCAATTTTATCCACAGTGCAAAGATCACAAGATTTGAAGACATAACAGGTGTAAGGATTTTTGGTTGTGGCACTGGAATCAGGTGAAGGAAATGACACACCGTGAAAAGTATTTTACCTTGGGTAGTGACCCATAAACAAGTCATCAAACCCTTTTTTCTATCAGTGGGAAAGTCAAAAATTATGTTATAACTCACATGTGGTACATTTAATACATTTATGGTTTGAAGTCTGTAATTTTTACTTATTTACAAAAATGACAAGATCTCAATTAACCTTCTCAAAAAAAAATTGTTTATCCTTTTAAGTTTTATGAGGAAAACCTCAGAAATATATCGTTCTTTTGTTTTAAATTTAGGTTAATTGAGTAACCATATTATGAATGTCCTGTTTGAATTGATGTATCAGATCATAGGCTCATTAAATGTGGTGTATATCGTGCTTTATTTCCTGCTACCTAATGATGCACAGAATGTTTTCTGAGAATATCCTGGAACACAGTTTAATGACCCAAAACTAACAACGAAGTAGGTCTGTATGCTTTTGTAGGTGAAGGACAGTTTTGTGGAAACTGAATAACAGCGATGTATGCTTATATGGAAACAGGAAAAAAACTCTCTCTCTCTCTCTCTCTCTCTCTCTCTCTCTCTCTCTCTCTCTCATAACAATAAATCTTAATTTGACCTATTAAGTTAATACTTTTTTATGTACAAAGAAACAAGACGTACACTTATTAGATTCTTGTCTCTGATACATAAAGCAGTTTATGTCACTCTATTTTAGTTTCATTTCTCAGAAACTTGCATGAATCACATCATACAATTAATGCACAGCAAACAGTAACATGTGAAACTTCCACCAAAAGTCAGAAGGGCTTCTCTATGCACATCCACTGCAGCTGTGAGAAGAAAATTGACTTTTCTATAATTCTCTCTTTACATAAGCCAAGAACCAATAAGATGTCTCAATAAAATTCTATATCTTTTTGCATCAATACACTTCAAGCTGCCTGGTCCCGCCATCTCCTCCTCCTCTGTCGTACATTGATATGTACATGGCAAAGTAACGTTGGGAAATTTCTGTGTGCGTAATCAATTAATGGTGGGGAAATTGACTTTTCTAGTGCCCGCCAAGAGTTGCATTCTCATCGCATTTCAGGTAATGGTTTTAGGTTCCAACTTTTAGAAAGGGACACTTGATTGCTATGCTCCAAAGTAATATTGCCCTTTGATTATTCCACTGACAGCTTCAGTTGTGGATTGCAAAATGATTTTTATGCTCCTTTATGAATATGAGAAAAAAACTTTTTTGCTCTGTTTGATAATAATTTATTTTTGTGGCAATAGTGAGTCACCCAGACAATCTCAGTCAGGTTGATTGCACCTCAACTTATTGCACTGACAACTTCAGTTGCGGATTACAAAATGATTATTTATGCCTCTCTTTAAAATATGAGAAAAAACAATTTTTGCTCGGTTCCATAATTATTCATTTTCTGTGGCAGTAGTAAGTCACCCAGTCTCATTGGAAGTTACATAAAATCGGCAGAAAATTATTTTATAATTAAAGGTGGCTTGGGAAGGGGGTAGTAGGGGTTATGTTAGAGTAGGCACAATCAAACCACCTGTTCACTGAAGTTAGATCTGATTTTTTTTTTATGTCAAAACTAGATAGAACAGAACCTAACTTCCTTGGAGTATGAAGACTAAATACAGATAACGCCAAACATTGACAATTTCAATGACAACTTCCATAACATTTACAACCTCCCCATCTGCAGTGTAAAACAACCAACAATAACCCCCATATACTGCAGTATTGCTCTTTGTTGGTCCTGTCATCCCATCTATTATTCATCACATATAATTTAATGGGAAAGACATGTAAAACCACGACACTTTGCTACTCGTTCACTTAACCAGGACATGTTCAATATCTTCACTCTGAAAACATTGTCAATAGCTCAGAATTTACTCTTCAGGGCCCTTGAGAGAAAATCAGATATTTCCACTTCAAGTGCACTGCACATTGACAGAGATGAAAAAGAGTCGATCGTTTAAATTACAAAAATGACACCTGTGGTGGGGTTGTATTTGTAAAGTCTGTGACTCATATGATAATCGATGTGATCCCAGGCATCAAATTACTTGAGCATCATGCAACTATTTTTTTACCTATTTACCTTTGAAAAAAGAGGGTACTGAGCCGGTGATTGCCTTATGACTTATGGCGAGATCACACAGCGCCCGTCAAAGAACTGCATTGACACTGGTGGGCGAGTTATACAACAGTTGATAATGTAAGACCCCTTTCACATTTTGTGTTACAATTATCTGTATCAAAACATTTAGACTGTAATTGTGCTGTGTACGGAGCTTTTTGTTTCTTTTCACAAGTTTGATTTCATCTGTTTGAACCAATTCAAAATTCATCTGGTTAATAGTTCATGTCCCATGCAAGGGTGAGGGTTTCCCCATTCAGGTGACTCTCTTACGTAAAATCTGGACTATTATCTTGTCAATCTCTCAAAGCAAATAAATGTATTATTGCATGATGTGAAAAAGCCCTAGATCTAGGTTTGTTGGCTTAATGACAGTTTGAAAAAATGCCCTTTTTTAACAACTACTCATTGATGCTGATTTGACAAATTGTGTTTGAGATTACATAGGTTTGTCAGATGAAGAAAAAAATGTGTTTGTGAGCTAGCCTAGTAACAGTACCCTTGAAGAAGTAGCTGGGAAGATGTAAAGTTGTTTGCATTACATCATGCACTGACCCTAGCAGAGAGACACGGGCCACAATATTTTAAAACTTTCGAGATCAACATGCTTTTTTTTAGCCAAAGAACATTTTTTCCAAATAATTCACATTTTCTTTAGAATTTGATCAAAATTGTCTGTTAATGTAAGGTAAGAATTGTTATTTACTGTTCCTGTCTTTTTTTATACTCACCAATATAAATTGGTTTCGTAAATCAGATCAAACCAATTCTGAATCCAGATCACTCTGAATATTTTGTAGGATGGACAAAGGATTGATACAGTGTTTTTAGAAATATATACCTATTCATCTCATTTCCCTTGAGCTTCACACCCTCAAGGTGCAGGACACTTAATTGCAAGTCATTTGAGGGCAACTCATTGCCTTCACAAAACACCCCAAGGAGAACCAATCATGTGAATGAAATCAGTCTTGTGAAATCTAAAAATGATATCTTAATAGTGCTAATGAACCTTATCTAAACCGTAGAGAGGAACTTATATCTGTCCATTTTTATTATAGATAAATGCCTTTGGAGGCTCCCTGGTTTAAACTCCAAAAGAAAACTAAATGCATCATTAGCTAGCTTTGTCCTTGATAAAAGAGAAATGTGTTTTCAAGGAAATGCTGATTGGCTACATTATTAACTGCACAAGTGAGAGCAAACTGTCATGCTAAGCCATGAGCATAATAGGGTGTGCTAAATGGAAAGATACACATGTAAAGAGTAGATGTTGTAAACCACAACAGAAACCAACTAGCCTAGCCTGGAAGGGGGGAGGGGTGTGTGTGATCTGAGTGTTTAGCTGTAATTGTTGACTGTGTACAGAGTTGGAGAAGTTCCTGTAGAGTTCAGCAGTCTGCAAAGCATGTTTATAATTCCGTAATTTGAATGATTCAGTAATTGCCTTTGCAAAAAACAAATCAAACAAAAAAAAAAAAAGAAATGCATATCATCTTCAAAATGAATATTGTCTCCTTAGTGCAACTGGCTAATGAGCAGTAACTCCACAGGGACTTTTGCCTAATGCAATCAGATTAACTGACTAACAGGCCACCTCTTGGTGATGAGTAGAACATAGAAAAGCTGGTGATTGAACGATTGTGTTGGGAACAAGAGGAGGCCTGTTAGTCTGTTAATCTGATTGCATTCAGCGAGAGTCCCTGTTGAGTTAGTGTGCATTATCTTCATAGGTCAATAAATTTCATAGTAAACGTTCCCTTTCAGTGTATGTGAAGATTTTCCCTCTGATATGTAAAATATTGTACTGTAAGATATAAATAATTATTATTTTCAATTACAGTATCAATTCAAATACTATAATTTCTTTCAGGGTATTAATTTCTTCTGTGTGGGATCTTTTATTCATTTATGTCTTGAAGATGGGATAAAACTTGCTTGTACCTTTTTTCCTGTGATATTAATTATCTCGTACAACTTTTCTATTTATACCTAATTTCACAAACTTTTAGACTATTTCTTTTATGTTTTCAGAGCCTTAAATCTAGTCCCAATAAACCTCAGGGAGAAAACAATAGACTATCACAAGATTCTGTGGAAATTCATTCCTTAAGGGGAATGTTACATACTAAGGTAAGAATACGAAGGTGGTGTTGTAATAGTAAACTTGTACAAAGATCGCCAAATTGTGTAATCATGTGTTAGGTAGTATACCATTGTTAAACCTGTCGCCATGGCAACATTTTTCCAAATTTTCGATGAGAATTTTTTGTCTTTTATTGTAAATGCCACCGTGTTAATTTCAAGAAAGTCATATTTCTTACACTTTCCATCATTTCCATAGGTGATGCTGAATGCCAAATGACATAACTTCATTAAAGACTTTTTTAGCTTTATTTAATTGTTGCCCATGCATGATGTCCCACACAATGAATTGACTAAAAAATAAAAATATAAGGCTTACTGCATGAAGTATACTGCTTGTCTGCAACTATCCGCCAAGTTATCTCCCTTGTGAATACATTGAGAGGTACCCTTGGCTGTCAGTGACTCACTGTTACTTGGATATTTAATTCGATGAAGCAGACTTTTTCCTGGAGCTCGCTTCAAAATGGTTGTTGTGTGTCAGTGTATGTGCAGCACAGATGAGGCGCTATCCTCTGATATCAGTGACCTCTAAAATAGTGTATGAAATTGAAGTATAGGCTCCTGTGGGAATGCACCCAATCAGCTTGTCTGGCCATATTTAACTGCCCTGACCCCCCCCCCCCCCCCCCCAAGAAAAAAAAAACAGCAGAGGAGAATAATATTGGGGTTGGGTATAGTCACTTTCATCTGGGGTGAGGCCATGCTTGATTTGCATTATGTAACATGAATGGGGACGTGTGCTGCTCACACACTGAGCTTCAGAGCTAACTTGACACTGTCCTTTTCACTGTAGCCTATCTCCAGCGTGTGAAGTAACCTCTNACCCAAGGAGAACCAATCATGTGAATGAAATCAGTCCTGTGAAATTTAAAAATGATATCTTAATAGTGCTAATGAACCTTATCTAAACCATAGAGAGGAACTTATATCTGTCCATTTTTATTATAGATAAATGCCTTTGGAGGCTCCCTGGTTTAAACTCCAAAAGAAAACTAAATGCTTCATTAGCTAGCTTTGTCCTCTATAAAAGAGAAATGTGTTTTCAAGGAAATGCTGATTGGCTACATTATTAACTGCACAAGTGAGAGCAAACTGTCATGCTAAGCCATGAGCATAATAGGGTGTGCTAAATGGAAAGATACACAGGTAAAGAGTAGATGTTGTAAACCACAACAGAAACTAACTAGCCTAGCCTGGAAGGGGGGAGGGGTGTGTGTGATCTGAGTGCTTAGCTGTAATTGTTGACTGTGTACAGAGTTGGAGAAGTTCCTGTAGAGTTCAGCAGTCTGCAAAGCATGTTTATAATTCCGTAATTTGAATGATTCAGTATTTGCCTTTATAAAAAACAAATCAAACAAAAAAAAAAAAGAAATGCATATCATCTTCAAAATGAATATTGTCTCCTTAGTGCAACTAGCTAATGAGCAGTAACTCCACGGGGACTTTTGCCTAATGCAATCAGATTAACTGACTAACAGGCCTCCTCTTGGTGATGAGTAGAACATAGAAAAGCTGGTGATTGAACGATTGTGTTGGGAACAAGAGGAGGCCTGTTAGTCTGTTAATCTGATTGCATTCAGCGAGAGTCCCTGTTGAGTTAGTGTGCATTATCTTCATAGGTCAATAAATTTCATAGTAAACGTTCCCTTTCAGTGTATGTGAAGATTTTCCCTCTGATATGTAAAATATTGAAGTGTAAGATATAAATAATTATTATTTTCAATTACAGTATCAATTCAAATACTCTAATTTCTTTCACAGGGTATTAATTTCTTCTGTGTGGGATCTTTTATTCATTTATGTCTTGAAGATGGAATAAAACTTGCTTGTACCTTTTTTCCTGTGATATTAATTATCTCGTACAACTTTTCTATTTATACCTAATTTCACAAACTTTTAGACTATTTCTTTTATGTTTTCAGAGCCTTAAATCTAGTCCCAATAAACCTCAGGGAGAAAACAATAGACTATCACAAGATTCTGTGGAAATTCATTCCTTAAGGGGAATGTTACATACTAAGGTAAGAATACGAAGGTGGTGTCGTAATAGTAAACTTGTACAAAGATCGCCAAATTGTGTAATCATGTGTTAGGTAGTATACCATTGTTAAACCTGTCGCCATGGCAACATTTTTTCAAATTTTCGATGAGAATTTTTTGTCTTTTATTGTAAATGCCACCGTGTTAATTTCAAGAAAGTCATATTTCTTACACTTTCCATCATTTCCATAGGTGATGCTGAATGCCTAATGACATAACTTCATTAAACACTTTTTTAGCTTTATTTAATTGTTTCCCATGCATGATGTCCCACACAATGAATTGACTAAAAAATAGAAATATAAGGCTTACTGCATGAAGTATACTGCTTGTCTGCAACTATCCGCCAAGTTATCTCCCTTGTGAATACATTGAGAGGTATACCCTTGGCTGTCAGTGACTCACTGTTACTTGGATATTTAATTCGATGAAGCAGACTTTTTCCTAGAGCTCGCTTCAAAATGGTTGTTGTGTGTCAGTGTATGTGCAGCTCAGATGAGGCGCTATCCTCTGATATCAGGGACCTCTAGAATAGTGTATGAAATTGAAGTATAGGCCCCTGTGGGAATGCACCCAATCAGCTTGTCTGGCCATATTTAACTGCCCTGCCCCTACCTCCCAGCCCCCCCCCCCCCCCAAAAAAAAAAAAGAAAAAAAAAAAGCAGCAGAGGAGAATAATATTGGGGTTGGGTATAGTAGTCACTTTCATCTGGGGTGAGGCCATGCTTGATTTGCATTATGTAACATAGATGGGGAAGTGTGCTACTCATTACCTAGGTATAAAATCATCCTTACTGACAAATCCAAAGGGTGTGTCTGGCAAGGAACGAAATCCCATTGATCACATCTAATGCAATACTTTTATAACAAATTTCTAACGGACCCTGTGGCCAGAGTGTAAGATAAGGTCATGCATTCACATCATTAGCACCACTGAGACCGCATCAATAAGGGCCTTTTCAGAACCAGTTGGATCTGCAGACTGACTAGTCCATAGTTCAAATATGGTGCACACTTGACACTGTGTTCCTGCCTCCTATGCATGCTGTCTCTGCAGGGGCAGAGCAATTGGAACTTGGCATGCTTTCTAAGTGGGACGCGCAATATTTGATCTGTGGACTAGTTAGTCAATGGATCAGCTGGTTCTGCACAGGCCCTAAGCAGTGAGAGATTCTGTTTTAACTCTTGCATGTGAGTTTTCTGGAAAATATATTTTTATTGCAGGTGATAAGAAAAAAAAAGAGCTGACATCCTTTGTCTGTGTCATTTCCACAAGTATTGATTTTTTGTAATAAGTTTGAGATGGTTGGCTGAAAGAAGTGTTATGTAACAGAGAATTAATGAAATTTCTGAAGAACATCAAAGCGAAAGCTTTGCCAACGTAGGCGACAACATGTAGTCATATGCAAAAGAATTACCAAAACACTTCCTAGATTGTGAAAATGCTTCAAGATGTTACAGCAAAATAATAATAATAATAGTAATAATAAATTAAATGAAATAAATATCACATCACTGTTGACTTCCATTTTTTCTTCTTTTTTTGTTTGTTTTAGTTGATACTTAATGGCACATCATTTTATAGCTTTTTACTCACAAAAGGATGATTCTTTTGAACATGCTTCAGATATTACATGGAACAAATTTATCAATTGGTACCAATAACTCCATTTTTCAGTTGTTCTACTCAATACGTTGTACATGTTTAGGTGAAATGATCCCCCAGAGGCCTATAAATAAGTCTTATATTATTCCTGTTTGTGTAATAAAGAGTTTTTTTCCTTTTGTTAATGTGTAGGAGTTATTTCCCTAGAGTGTTGTAACACAGTTGATATGTGGACTTGGGTTGTACATGACTTGATACCTTTAAAAGATATTTAATGGTTATTTCCCTGGAGACAGAGCTAATTATTGTGATATATAGGGATATAGGTTATTATGTAGACTAGAGTCAATATCACACAGGTTTGTTTGAAAACAAAAATAGATTACATCATGTGATGATGTAAAGTGCTAATTGTTTCTATCCAAACTGTCTCCACCTAGTAGTAGTCTTTCATCAGAGGAACTAAGTTATACTGTATTCCAGCCTATACTCAATCTGTAGTGGCTAAAATCTGTGTTATAGTATCTGGATCTTTCTGTGGTCTGGTAGACATTTCACGTTCTCATATATTCACTTCACATTCTCTTTTCTACTAAGGAAGACATTAATATATATCAATTATAATAAAAAAGATACTTTGCTATATTTTCAGGAAACAAAAATATCAGCCCTTGAGAAAGAGCTTCGGTTGAAAGAAGATGAACTGGCAAGATTGCGTGACGACCGAGGAAGTAGTGGAAGCGAGGCCTCATTTGGAACTGACAGTTTACGGCGGAGAGAGAAAAAGCTTCGTCAGCAGGTTAATTTCAATAACGTTCACCTGGAATTGATCACTTAAAATTGCTGTTGTTTTAGTTTTTTTCTTTGGGTACAATATCACCTATTTAATGTAAATGGTCTTTATTAAAGAATTATGGGATGCATTACTCAGAGGGATGTTGGTTTGTTTTGACAGTGATTTCCCTGGGGACCCCAAAACACATTGTTTGATTACAGTAAAAAAAGATTACCAAAAAGGCCCATATTGTCTGGACATTCAACAGGCTCTACATTAGAAGACTACATCATAAAATTTGTTGAAACCTTTCTATACCTGGCAGTTAATATGAGGCTACGTAGGTTTTCATAGATTAGGCAAATGTGGAGAGGAAATAATTTAAACTGTGTCATATCAGTGCTCTAAGGGCAAAAGGTTTCAGGATCATTCCTGATTTCAGAATTTTCAGTCTTCATTTTATTTATTTTTTTACTCATATAGTCTAAATGCAATGAGAAATTCATAGCTACATTTTCAGGATTTTCGGGTTTTACAACTTTCACCCATGGTGCCCCAGTCAGCCATATCACATTGAGTTACCATTTCATCTCATTTCACCTCAGACTCTCACATCCCATGTTGGCCACTGCATTTTGTACTACTACGGGTCTAAGATAGTTCTGGGCGTGAACAGACATGATGAACCTACCACAAGTCTAGGATCATTTTCCCCATCAAAGCCAAGCGGTCCCCCTGGTTCTGCGATAAGCCAAACCTATCTGTTATAACTTACACTTGATTGAAGTTCTTATAGATTTTCAGGCAACAATGTGGGCATTACTGTCAATGTTGGAGACTCACACTTTTAAATATGATGGCATGGTGGGCAGTAATTCCATGCTTGGTTACCATTTGATAATTTGTCTGTTGATGTTTAGCATCGCCCTGAGGTTCCAAGGAATGGCAGAGATTCTGCTCTGTTTTTCTGTCATAGGCAAACAACGCCAGACTAGAAATAGAAACAATATTTTAAATATTTATTTATTTATTTATTTATTTATTTATTTATTTATTTATTTTTAATTTTGTAAGTAGCTTGAGAAATGCACTACCACAGCCCCATTCCCAGATGAAGTTGAACTGTAAGCAGACAAGGTATTGACTGTTTAAGTCCCAGTGTCTTTCTCAATTGATAAAATAAATAACTTCTACATTTCTATGGAAATTTTAAAAATATTTGATGAAACTTTTCAATATTAAACCTTACAGTAGCCACATCCCAGTCACCTTATTTGAAAATTGCCCTTATGCCTGTATGAGGAGCAGGTATTTTATGTTCAGGTACAGATAATATGATATGATATTAAAATAAAGGCCAAATCTGAGCCAACTTGTTACATTTGCTGATGGAAAGTAAATGAAGCTTATTTAAGGTTATTTGACAAGACAATTGCCCTATTTGTTAATTTGACTCAGGTTAATTGGTGACATATAACAGCATAAGTGATAGGAAATGGATGTATGAGTTTCATACCCTAAACAATTACTGCTTCAAGATTTTCAGATCCTTTTATATACTGAATGTACTGAAGGGAGAATTTTATGATGAAAATTGATGGAGAAAACATGACACTTGAATGAAATGTTTTCTCGCATTTTTTGCGAGGTTGTTGTCACTTTATGGTAATGTTTTTCTTCCCTTTTCTTCTTTTATTGAAATTTGGTGAATCTGTTGATGAAAGAGTCAATACAGGAAATTTGAAATTTGAGAACTCTCTGTTATTGATAAGTGAAGTTGAAATCCACAGGGACAAAGTCTATTAGTGTTGGACTGATAGCCGTCTAAATCTTTCTTTTGTTGGTGGGGAGCTTGGTCAAGATTCAAACTTTGACGGAAATTTGAAATATGAGATTGCTCAGATAATCCATTTTTTTTTTTTTTTTTTTTTTTTTTGTGTGTGTGACAATAATTGAATATGTCTTTGCCTTCATTTTCACTAGAAAAAGGGTGGATATTAACAGAAGAAAAAATGCTGTTGTGCCTGTTTAAATTATTACGATAACACTTTATATATAATTTCGTTTAAATACAGGTAGAACTGTAGCATAAATATTCCATTGGCATAATGTTTTATTATTTCCTAAGATATAAATCTGGCACAGGATAATTTTATATTGAATTGAAAATTATAATTCACCTTGTGAAAATTCAGCATTCTCTCAGTTACTATGCATGACTTATAGGTATATTGATCATACACTTTTTGATATTGAACATTTTAGTTTATTAAATCATTAGATATTAGGTGCTCATTTTTGCCTGGTGTGATTTTTCAGGTTGAAGACATGCAGACGGAGCTGACCCTAAAGGAGGCTGAGTTACAGTCTATAAAGACCAAGATGGTTACCTCGGAGCGCCAGCAATCTGACCATCTGCACCACATCTCCGTGTTGAAGGAACAAACTAGTGCCAAAGAACAGCAAGTCAATCTATTACAATCAGATGTAAGTAGAATGGTTCAGAATGTATATGGTTAGGGATTTTTTTCTCTGAAACTGCTAGCTTGATCCATGTTAGTCTAGAAACTTTGTTTAATACATTGTACTTTACCCATACTACAGTAACTACAACCTGATACATAATATAAATGTAACTTAATTGATAAAACGATAATAACATATAGCACCAGTCATTGATATGCTAATACTAATCCAGTATTGTGTTTTAACAATGTCACTGTTGCCATTAAAATCATGTTGCATTTCCTCATGGCAAAATTGGAAGCAGCAACTTTTCTTTTCCTCACACCTCCTAATCGGATTACTTGTTAGATTGCTGGCACTTTGTAAAAGGCTTATTTTCAGGGATATGTTTTTCCAGTCTTCAGGGTGAATTCAGACACTCTCTCTCACTAGGAACCATTTTACTAGATTTTTCTTTTTCAAAGGTTCATATTCAAGCAGGGGTTTGTCTAATACTTGAGAGAAACCTCCTTAGGGCAATTATATTCCAATATGTAGTCTGAGACAATTATATGCACACAAATACAAATGTTTTGGCCATATATTGATTTCATTTTTATTTCTTTTGTTGGAATTAAAAGTAGATGCCATTAAAATGACATACTTGTAAGTGGGGCTGGGTCTTTTTTGGAGAAATGTGCATATAGGATGTCATAAATCTGAATTAATATCCATACTTTTCTGCGAAATTCGCCAGTTTGTAGGAGGTTGCCAAGGTAACTCGATAAAGAATCGTCCAATTTTTAAAAACATGCTCGGGTTCTTATTGGAAATGTGCGTGGCATGCAAGGGTTGGATTGGGAAAATCCAGGCAGAGTGAACCACATTTTTCTTGAGCTGTCTCTAATTAACCATGGGAAATGTCACGCTACCCACTCTGTAATGAGATTATTTCTCCAACAGTGACTGAGCCATTTATTGTAATTTCAGAGAAGCTTGACAGGTAGATTTTGATTCTGAAACTAGAGTTTCAGGAAAGTGCTGAATGATTGACATTTGTGTGTGTGCATTTGCAATTGCATGTGTCTGCATGCATGTGTGTGTGTGAGAGAGATAGAAAAAGCAAAATAATATCCAAAACCGCTACGTAAGAGTGCTTTACTCCAAGCACATGTCACCATCATGTGACTAATCCCAATTAGTGATCACTGTAGAAAACATTTACAAATTGCGTGCCAGCTCATTTAATAAGTAAAATCTTTCAGTTGTGGAGAAAATCTTGTAGAATGACACTGTTGCATGTCTGTCTTGGAGCGCAGTAATCATTACCTAGTACATTCGATACAGCCTGTTATCATCTTCTTACAGAAAGCTTCATCAGGTGCTGGAGAATTTTCACTCTGCTATAAACGAACTGTTTAGTGTTGCTCTAGGGAAATACTATCGTGATAAATTGAAAAATTGAAGTTTTATCCTTGGGATGCTTTTTCCTACATGATTATTTTATTAGCCAGTCTAATTTTCTTTTTTATAGTAATAATTATAGTTTTTTTTTTTTTTTTTTTTTGCATGCATGCATGCACGCATCTTTCCCCAGTCTTGGTGAATATCATTGGATTTTTCTTTTTCTTTTTGAAAAAAAATTACTCTCTTTCTGTTGCAGCAATGCAAATTTAATGCAATAAACAGAAAATGAATGCTATTTGGGGCTCATGTGAAGTGTAGGTATCAGCTGGCTTATTATTTTTTACCAGTACTTATTTTATTTTTACTTATTTTTTATTAATTTGCATGCTTATAAACCACTGTCAATCATTTCAGTATCCATGTGGCAAGAAGAAATGGTCTTGATTACACAAATATAGAAGCATTCAACTGTAGTATTAATAAAGGGTGCACTGACACATCCCTTTGATGTCAGAGCAGTTAGAATCAGATCCCAGACCAGCAGCAGTTCTCCTCCCTCCCCCCCCCCCCCCACACACACATACACACACACACAAGATACACAATGACTTGTTCCCAGTATGGTCTGCTATATGGCCTTATTCATAAAATGTCAAATAAAACATAATAAATTTAATAGAAAACATCTCAATTACATTGACCTCTGCCTGTGTGTTGTAACCTTCAGTGCCTGAATTCTCTGGTGCAAGTACAGCAAAAGAAGTTGTCAGGCCCGTAATAAAAGAGATCTGTGCATTCAGTAGTTTGATAAAGGCTTTTGATTATTTTTCTTTTCAATAGAAGGCAAAATGTTTGATAATTCTGTGTTTGAAGTTCTGTCTGTGAAGTCCCAGGGCCCTGAGATTTGTCTGACTTAAAGCGCATTCAGAAACTGCTCCAACTTAAACAAGAAGTAGTCAGAGACACATCACCAATTGGGGGGGGGGTCTTATAGACCTTTCCTGATATGAATGCACGATCGTAAAATCATGTGATTTGTAATTGAATCTTAATATACTATTATTTTTTATCTGAAAACCCTGTAGGTATAAGGAGGCCCTACTTTGTGCCAAACAAAGACTGAAATCTTCCTCACATCTGCATCATGGGTCCTGTGGTATCATGGTCATGCTGTCATATCCAGAAAAGCCTATTTGAACTTGAAATCTTAGGGCATCAGTTATAACTTTATCCATTTTAAGTCACTTCAGCTGTGAATGCCATAAGTCTTATTACGAAGGTGCAGACAGAAAACTAATAACATATCAATCACGGGGGTTCTAATACCCACTGTCTACCATGTGTGTGTTTTTTCATAGATTTTTGATCTGTGCTTAGTTGATTTGGTATTCCCTAATGATTAAGTGATAGTCAGTTAGGGTTTGAGACAGTGTGGATGTCTGGAAGTTAATACAGTTGTCTATGTATCACAGTGTGATAGTATACTTAGCCTGGTTGTAAGACAACAAATTTAGTTGATTTTTGCATTATAGGGCAGAACGTGAACTGTGAGTCATAATGAATAATTTTTATGAATATTTTATTATGTAATCATTTCAAGTGTTTTAGATATCACAGCCAAATGAGAAAATCTGCTGATTAAGATTTTGAAGATGACATCTGGAGTAGATGGCTTGTTTTTCGTTAGAATTTTGATGGCAAAATAAACTACATTTTAGTCTTCAATATAATGTCACTTCAACTCATCAAATAGCTCAGTGTTTTAGGAAGTATTGATGGCGTTATTATTTACACAAAAGCTTATCTGTACCCGCCCTTAGAGGATTAAAGTAATGAATTATACACTTCTTTTAGCAAATTTTGAATTACCAAGAGCACTGCAGCTGTAAAAAAGGCTGTCAATATCTGTCAAAAAGAAAATGAGGAAACTCATAAAGGAACTTGTAAGAACATGCCAAGTTTTCCACATTCAATTTAACAGCAAAATATAATACTAGAACTGTTACTAACAGTGAACTTTTCGTGAACTATCCTTTTTACAGGTGAGCTTTTCATGTTGAAAAATGCAGGTACATAGTGTGCTTAACAGTTTCTTATCCTGGGTTAACAGTACTCCATTTGTAGAAGCCCATCTACTGCTTCATGAGCCATTATATCTTGACCTTTAAAGAACAAACACTTACAGAGCACCTTAGATACTGGAGTGTCTTGAACTAGAAGTAAATAAATAATGGTATTAAATAACTTCATAACACAATGATCCTTAGTTAAATAACTAGATAATATAATGACCTCAAAGTAGCCACCATTTAATCGGACTTTTCTTTCAAATATCAAAGAATTAGATGATATGATGAATGGTGTGATATAGACTGTATCTGGTCTTAGTTGTTCTTGCTCTGAACGCGACTTCACAGTAATTGAACTCAAAGACCATGTTAACTGTGGGTACTTTATTGCTCAGGTATAATTGTACATCATGTGTATAACAATTAATAGCTAGAAAATGCACAGCCAGTACAATATGGACCCTATTAAATTGGATCTAAGTTTTTATTATTATTATTATTATTATTAAAATTATTAAGCAGTTCAGTCTTTTGGTGAATGATGCCAGTTAATAGACTTTTTAAAGAATTAGTTGATTCTGTTCTGAAAGTGAATAAGCCCTCAGCCGAACAAAAGGTGGAAAACCGATGCTTGTGTTGGCATGGTTATAATTCCCAGTGATGAATGAGAAAAGTGTAATGTTTCAGACAGATTGTGTGAGCTGAATATTAGACCTGTTGGATGGAATTGATTTGCAGATATGCTCCAGATCAATCTGAGAATTGTTTTATTTTTGCTAAATTGATTTTCATTTTGAGATTAACTTATTTTTATGACAGGGGGGTTTGCAACTGATTTTGTGGTGTAATTTTTTTTGTTTGTTTGTTTTTGTCTTATTTTAGAATGCATATTGACATATATAGAACAAAAAATGTTAAAAGATATGTAATGAGCTTTAAGTATTTAGGTTTCTTATTATGCAATACATTACTGGGTTATATTATGTACAAATGAATTAACCATAAAAAGCAAGGTCTGTTGAATAGAAATTGAAATGCAACTTTGGGTTCTATTGATCTTGTTACTATTTGACATTTTTTATGCAAATTTTAAACTATAGAATTCAAATTAGGTTTTGACATAAGATCCAGCTTTGATGGTTTCAAATGATATTACATGAAAATTGAGATTTATGGAGTACCTCAAATTGTCAGACAAATCGTTTATATTCAGCAGAAATATCTGTCCTGTAGTGCCACTTTAAGAATTACTGTGGATATTCTTTTCCTTTCTTTTTATGTTTTCAGATCAAAGAACAAGAAATTTAGCTGATTGGAGAGATTGCATAAAATTGATAAATCTCCCCTATGTTTATGTAAATGATATCTTTATCATGAATGAATGTATGAATGAAGACAGATGACATTTACCTAATGAAAACTCTTAATTCACAGAATAATTTTCAGACTTGCTTTTTTGTATGAAGGAAACCAGATACTGTAATTCTTAATGAAGTTCCTCTTTAATTCCATCAATCATACTTGAGATTGTAGATCAACCCAACTCCACGGGGACTCGTGCTGAATGCATACGTATCAATGGATTAACATGCCTCCTCCTGATGTTGAATAGAATACATAAAAGCTGGTGATTATAAAAGTATGCTAGAAACAAAAGGCGTGTCTTTAAGTTAATCTGATTGTATTCAGCAGGAGTCCCCAGGGAAATACATCAACCTTCACAGAAAGATAGTTTCATTTGGAATAAGCCCTTAGAGAGAAGAGAGGCTTAATTATCACATTGTTAGGGGTTTGTTTTTTTAACTAAGGAAGTTGATAACATTATTATAACTGTTCCTTCATCTTTTCTGTTGTCTTCATTCTTTTATTTCCAGTTTTCCCTCATCCCTAATGTTAAGATATGAATGTCTTTAAGATTTATCTGGGAATCCTCTTGCAGTTTTGTAACTTTTTCAAAGGGTCTGATTTCATCTCTAAATTTCTTTATCCCTATTATTATTATTATTAATATTATTATTACATGTAGATTGAAGAACTCAGGGGCCGTCTAAAAGAGAAAGAGAAGACGATAGATGATCGTGCCAAGCAGATGCAGACGGTACAGCAGGAACACAGGAAGATGGAGGCTGAAGTAATGGAACTGAGGGATCACATCGATATCAAGGATAGGAAAATTAATGTCTTACAAAGAAAGGTAGATGACAATCACTGACTATTTTTCTTTTTTTTTTCTGAATGATGACTGTTTATTTTCTAGAGTTGAGAAATATGTCATGTTTATACTCTCACAGACATGCTATACAGTCTGTTGACTGCAAGTGTTCTTCCCATTTACTGAAGTATTGGTATTATATAAGAAAAAAAGGCAGTCACAAAAAATCAGACAAATCTCTTTAATCAAATCCCTTATCCATTTATGTGCACTCAATATTCCCAACAGGTTTTGTTATGTTGATTATCAAACTTGTAGTGGCAAATTTTATTTCTTATAAAAAGAGGACGGAAATGTCAAAATGGGTGATAAAAATAAAAGTATAAAATATTTATTTGTTATTCCACAGATTGAAAACTTAGAAGAGACCCTTACTGACAAGGACAATCAACTGACCAGTCTCAAGTCCAAAGTGACCAGTCTTCAGGCTGACCACAGTGCCTCAGACAGCACAGTGACCACTCTGGAGGAGACAGTGATGGAGAGAGACAGGCAGATAGAGAGGTATTGATTATTATAATTATAGTTATGATATGTTTGAAATATTTGAATTTTTTCATTTCAATAGAAAATTATTGAAATTGAGGTATTAATGATCATATTAGTTATTATATTATTGGAATACTCTCCCTTAAATGTGTTAAATCATGCATGGTCTGGCCTTGACTGTACAAAAAAAAAAAAAAAAAAAAAAGGGAGAGTTGGACGGGAAGAAGAGGAACATTTTCCTATTTTTAAATTATGATCATGTACAGAATCTGTAATATTTGAAAAAAAATTTAAACTGTATTGACAACAATTATTTTTTTAAATGATTAAGAAAATAATTATTATCAATGCTGTAATAAGTTTCCTGGAATTTTGTGGCATAGGAAGAAATAAGAATGATTGATTCAGTTGAACAAAAGAGACAGATACTACAAACATTTTTTTTATTTCTTCTCAGGTTAAAGGAGCAACGAGAGCGTGATCACAAAGAACATCAGGAGGAGTTGGAGCTTTTACAATCCAGCAGTAAAGATCTCAAGTCCAAACATGACAGTTTGCAGAAACAGCTGGCAGATAATCAGGTATATGCAGTAGTTGTAACTGAAGGAGTGGAAGAAAAGAGTCTAAGGCTCTATTCCCATAGATTTTAGATTGATCTATCCCCGCGGGGAGTCTCACTAGATTACTTTCAGATAATCCGACTTAAATGTCCCTCCCGCCTACTACAAGCTGTAAGGGGGTAATTAACTTTCATGTCCGCCCGGCTGACAGCTATTTAGCGTGAACCCCCAGGGAGTTAGGTCGATCTAAAGTAGGTCGATCTAATCTATGGAAATGGGGTGTTATAGTACTGGTTACTGGATTGTGTTAGCTGTGCAAAAACTGAGGAAATGTGCTAATTGTGTCCTCAGTGTATGGTTGTGTTTATAGAAGCAATGAGTTGGGATCTATAGTTTTAAAACTTAATCGCTTTGTGATTTGTGTGGTTTGATACTATAAAAGCTTAATATGACTTACATTGTGATAGGTGTTCTACATTCACATTTTTGCAAGTTTACATGTACATAATTAGATTTCAAATATTCCTGGTTTCACATTAGTATTTTTTTTTTTTACTGCAGTTGATACATTTGATTTAACTTAACTTTTCATTCTATTCAGACTGAGTTGCTTGAGATACGAGAGGAAGTCTCGGTGCTGAAATCAGAGAAATTCCAGAGAGAGTCCAAGATCAAGCAACAGGAGGAGGAGCTCTCACAAGCCACAGCACAACTTGCTGAGCTCAGAGAGAAACTAGAGGAGGTAGGCTAGTTATCTTTGTGCCTGAACAACCAGGATGCTTTATTAGCTACAAGAAGATACAGAATAGTGCTGTGCTTGTAGGAGGTTGCAGTATTCTTTATACCAACATAACCCCAGGCTTAAATGAGAAGGAATAAGTGCACATCAGCTTGAATAAAGATTAGCCAGCTGTAGAGATCATACACAATTTTTTAAAGTTAATTTAATTTTCTTGTTTTGTTTTGTTTTGTCTTTGTCAGATGCTAAAAAAGGGTTAGAATGCAAGGTTTATGTTCTTGTTTTGGATGTCAGTATTGAGATTTTAATCTGGTATATGTTGATAAATGATCTAATGTATCAGATGACAGAGGAGAGGATGGTTTCTGCCGAGTTAGAAAACACATTTGCTTATTAAAGTTACAGTTTTGTATGATTTGAAAAATTTGACTTTCAGACAAAGAGCCAGCAGAGTACAGAGAGCTAAAAGGATATCTTTAGAGTTACTGAAAAATATTGAATATCAAAGCACAAAATCAGTATGAACACGAGGGCTTTAAAATCATCATACCCCTGACAATTAGAATGTCTTTAGAGCAAGAAAAATGGTTGCAGATTGAAAGTAGAATATAATACTATTATGTAAATCAAGTAATATGATTGTGTTGCAAGTGAAAATCAGAGAGTGTCCATTACTAGAAGAAATATGTGGTGTAGGAGAAAAAACTCAAAGACAGTATTTATAATGATTGAATAAATATTTCAGATGAAGAATTTACAGAGTGCAGACAGCAAGAAGATGTCAGAGGAGTCGGAGCAGAAGATAGCAGATTTGGAGAAGAAAGTGGCCGAGTACAAGCAGCAGGCTGAGCAGTTACAGAAAGAATTGGACCGTTTGCTAGATATCATGCAAGCCACAGAGCATGAAAAACACGACAAGGACTCCTCCATTAAAGTCATGCAAGAGTAAGAGCAAGAAAATAGTTATATGTCACAAAGTATCACATTTGAATTATATGGGATATCGTAGATGTTTTTGTTAAATGTACTGGTATTTTTTATAATTTAGAAACAATGATTTTGACTCAAATTTTTTCTGTTTTACAACTTAAAATATTTGTAGAAGGTGCAGGATACTTCATCTTACCTTATTTTAATAGATATATAAGTAATCTGTTATTTTAAATAGAAAGATTTCTAAATTATATTCAATTTTTACCAAAAGGTTTTAGTTTTCAGGTAACATCTCGTGTAAGTGGACTTTAAACAGATTGTGAAACAGATTTAAACAGATTATGAAAATAGGATTGTTTTGTATTTATAAATATATTTTCAAATGATCTGATTATTGAATAAAAACCCCGTTTTTTCTCTACAGTCAAATCAAAGACTACAAACAGAAGATGGGGTCACTAAAACGCAGTAAGGAGTTGGAAAAAAAGAAGCAGGCACATCTTTTGGAGGAGGCTCGTAAACGTGAGGAAGGTGTCTCAACTGATGCCTCACAGCTAAAGGTATTTTTACTCGACAGCATTGTTCACATATTTTTTTATCAGTACTGTATACTCATCAGTTAATGTGTGTCTACACCCTGGACTGTCTAACACATAATGATACTAACTTTCCATATAGAGGAGCTTCAGTGTGTGAAAATTTTCCACTGAATTTACCCGATATTTAATTTCTAATCAATGATTATAATTGTTAATGTGGTATATACTGATGCCTATTTGTATATCCTTTTAATTGATCTGTATATATGGTAATTACTCATTGAATTTGAGAAAAAACTATCTGTTTTTCCCCTAAAAAGTACTTTGTTCTTGATACCTGGAAATCATATTTAAAATTTCTGAAAAGTAAGACTGTTCAACTTAGAAAGTTGTCCTTCCTATTTTTAAAACATTTTTTCAACCTTAAAATGATAAGGATTAAGTTCAAACGTTGGTCAGGAATAAACGAGAATCTTTGTGTAATTACCATTCACATAATCTCACCTGTTGTAGAGGTTTTCTCAGTTTTAATGTGGTTCAATGTTGAAAAACTAATTTTCCTTGATTATATCTTTTCCCCTTCATTTGATGTGTGTATTCTGCCGTTGATGTGCTAGAGTTTGCATTGTTTGTGTGCCAGTTTGATATTTGTAATTCTTGTGTAGAAAGTAACAGTAGTAAATGATAATGATTTTAATTTATTTGATTATTAAATTTTGATGCATTTTGTCTGTATTAATCTTAAATCACTAAAATTTGGGTAGCCACAGTCCATATATGCACCTGTATGCAAAATTATTTTTAATACAGCCAGTGTAATCACAATCATACTAAAATTAATGTATGCACTGAATTAGAGTACTAACAAAGAATAACATTGTTCATCTCTTTCTAAATTTTATTATGAAATTATTTTTAGTTGCAAAAAAAGAATTTCTGACAATTGGGGTCTTTGCTTGAGATTTAATTTGAAAAAAAAAAATGAACATGTCAGAGCTTTTTTGTTGTAACGGTGTTTGTGTGAGTTTTATTTTTCTATGGCTATTATGATTTTGAAATAATAATTAGCTAATTTTTTGTTCTAATCCCTTTTTCAACCAATTGACAGCATTACTTTCTGTTATCCTTGCAGTCAAAGCAAATTGGAAAGCATTAAGCTGTAATAAACATATTTTGTATGAGCATATGAAAAGAGTTAAGTTGTATTTATAGGTTAATAGTATACATATATAAGTTATACACATATGCACTTAATACAGCATGGATTGTTTAGATTCAAACTTTTTTGTTGTAGTTCATTACAATTTATGTAGCAAAACTGTTACAATATTATTTAGCATGACACTGTTATAAATGGCGATGTTTTGGGATCTGGAAGTGGAGAGAAAAATGAGTGCATTAATGAGATTATTCTTTTTTCTTCTTTTTCTCATTACTTCCATTTTTTTATTTTCCCTATTGTTTATTTGCTGAAATCCACCTTGTTTTTTGTATCATATTTTTTCCTCTTTTGAATTTTAATCTTCTTTTTTGTGTATCCTGTATTTGTGTGACCTTGACCTGAATCTTATTGACCTTGGACTTTGGTCTGTAACAGTATCGCTTTGGTTTTCCATTTTAAGTTAGACCTTTTTGTTGCTATTTCTTTCTCTGTGTACCTAGAGCACTATCAAACAAAAAGAAGAGCGTATTGAGGAACTGGAAGAAGCTCTACGAGAGAGTGTTAAGATTACTGCCGAAAGAGAAATGGTTCTGGCCCAACAGCAAGCCAACCTGGAGGATGCCGATAGACAGGTGATGAACATTTTTACCACATTTAGGAATTGGTATATAAAAATGATTGACAAATCATGCTTGAAATTATGAAGCATGTATTGGCCTCCTTCAGTTTTTTAAGAAGACCATTTGTATGCCTTTTGATGCTAAAAATAGTCCTGAACTTACAGTCTCTTCGCAATCATGTCACATGATCCTGTTTTATCAAAATATATTTTCGTATTATCTCTGTTTGTCTCATGTTTTCTATGTTATTATAATTATTTATTCAATATGATGAAGATGGTAGGAAGGTTCAAAAATATTCCAGTTGACATACCTTTCAGAAATGTATCTTGTAGACCCCATCACAAAATAAGCTTGTGGATTCCATCAGGAAATAAGCTATTTTTTTCATAGTATGTATTTACTATAGATTTAAATTCGATCCAAGTGAGAGACTCACTTTTGAAATTTTGTTTCAGATCTCTGAACTGACCACAGAAATAAATGAACTCCAAGAGAAGACAGAGCAGCAGAACAGTGAAATGGCCATGCAGGCCAAGATGGCCGAAAAACGCGAGGAGATGTTGAAGGAGTTACAGGAAGAGCGAAAGAAGCACATGGAGGAAGTTCTAGAAATGAAGTATGGAAGAAATTATTGGAAGTATATAAATTTAAGAAAAGGAAAGACAAGTCTTGTATATGCAAACCTAGATAAAACTTTTTTCCCGAATTGTATCAAGAAATGAAATCATTTGGAGCTCTCATTTGTAGCTCACTTTCACTAGATGAAATCACTATATTTTGATGAAGTTAAAGCTTCTGCTTTAAACACTCATAATTTGAAAGACAATACAACAATAAAAATGATCAAAAAATGCAGCATTTTCATATTTACAAGCACCTGTAAGATATTGTTAATAACAATTTTTTTAGGCAGGAGGCCATAGTAGCAGCCATTAGTGAGAAGGACTCTCATATTGCCCTACTGGAGATGTCCGGGGGTGGGAAGAAGGGGGGCAGGGACCAGGTGGACATACTGACCAAAGAGAAGGCCAAACTGCAGCACAAGCTCAAAGATTTGGTATGTACTTGGGTCTTCGAGGAGGAGGGGCCTGTAGACAGGGAAGGTCCCAAACAAGCTGCCCTTTTTTGCTGAAAAAATGTTATTGGCAAATGCTTTCCTAAAGCAGGCCAAGATGGATAATTGAATATGTGTATTAGTAAATTTGGATGTTTGTGATTGAGGGAGTAAGAGAGTTGGGGAGAGGAGAATATTGACACTTTGACTTTGGTTGTATGGCAGTTTAAACTTGCTGTAAGTTATTAAAATAAAAGGATCTTTTCAGTATAGCAGAATGATTAGAATTCTCTAACTCTCAGATGAAACTCAATCATGTTGTGTGTTGAAAGGTGGAATATTTATTAAATAACATACTAGACAGTACTCACCTTGTTACTTTTTGCCCGGTATGAAGCAACTGGCTACAACAGCCATATATATCTCTTTTGGGGTATTCTTGAAAGTTCTGGCTGTGTGAAGCAAACAATCCTCAATTTTTTTCAATGCATTAGTACAGTCTGTGATCTTTCTCAATAGTATCCACCATGCTGATGAAATCTTGTGGCCCCCATTTCAGACTCAGAGTCGCATGAAACTACAAGATGACCACAACGGCGGTGGGGTGACCGCAGCATCAGAGATGATCTCCTCGGCTCACATGGGGATAAAACCCTCCCCACTGTCCACCACTCCAGACCAGGTAATGTGATGACCACTGTCCATTGTGTTGGTTTTTATAATGGCAAATTTGCAAGCTGTTTTTATTTATTTTAATTATTTACTGTTGTGAATTCTTGCAGAATGTATGGTAATGACTCAGTCTTTTTGAGGGGAAAATTGTAAAATTTACAGATTCTGTATATTTTTTAAGTCATAAATTTGTAAAATAGTCACAAAACTGAAAAGCAGGCTAGCAAATTGTTATATTCTTTATAGAAAAGAAAAGGACTACAAATGCTACACAGAAACTATATTTTAATGATTCTGAAATTATGTATATGAAAAATTGATATTTTTCCCCATTAAAAAGATCATGTCATTACCCTTAATCATGATTTCAGGTCCCATTTCACATCCAGGTTTGGAACAATATTTTCTAATTAAATTCCTTATTTAAATAAGGTATAACCTACACGAAGCACATCAAGAATGATGCAAAATATGTATGATTTTTTTTTGTAACACTGAAGCCAAGTTTAAAACCACATGTAAATGGGTCCTGTATATTTTAGAATATTTTTGGAGCAGGCATTTAACCAAATTATTTTAGCAAGTATTGTTGTAAAAAAAGATTTGTTTTTCCTCTGTTAAGTTTTAAGTAGAAACTTGTTGAAGATTTCAAATCATATCTTTCACTGAGTGTTTCCTGTGCATATTTTCCACTAACTGTGAAATTTTATTTGCATTTATATGCTCCCAAGCAATGTAGATGTTAGTAGTATTTTTTTGCATTTCCACAAAAAAAAAACTTTCTTTATTATTTCCATGTAGAATGTTTAATTTATTGTTACTTCATTTACAGCTCATGTGTGTACTTGTTAGAGTAATTAAGACCAGTTCTGAGCACTGAAATGTTATTGTAATCAACCTGAGTTGATTGCATGATGTTACATGTACTAGTTTGGCAAGTACATGTAATGCCAGTAATCCATGACCGCGGAGTTCATCCTGAAATCGAACTAATTCTCACTGTCGCCCCCTGGTGAACATTCTGTGCCATATTTTCATGACGACAGTGACAATTAGTTTTCTCTGAAGAGGTGTAGTATAGAATATGTCAGATCTCATGCCATGTGCAGCGGAGCATCCAGTATGTGACTGATAATTTTTTATTCTTCATTCAACTGTGCAAATTTTTTGTTCTTCATTCAACTGTGCATCAGAACTGTTCTATATTACTTGAGTTGCGACTACAACCTTTTTACGCACTTGGAGTGTTAGAAATGATTTCGATCTTTTCAGAGGTTGTCCAGGCCAATAGATCTACTATCATGGCAGCTTTAGATACCAGTCTATTTAGAAATTTCAAAATATTGACCAGTTTGGCTTTGCTTCTATTCTTTACAGAAATTATTATTCCTTTTTTATTTTAATTTTGCACAAAAACCAGTATACAATGTCTTTAAGAAAAATGGCTTTTAAGTTCACAAATTATTCAGTTCAAGTTATGTTGCGCTTTCTATGCCCCACTGGTTCAGAGTATGTGTCACACTCTAGGAAAAAAGTACTACCCAAAAGACTGAATTTGTTGACCTGGCAAGATAAAGTAGTGATCCTTTATTATTTCTAACACTGCACTTGTGTTATTGTTTTGTCATGGAGCTTGCTCTGTGTTGTGTGTCTAGCTGTAGTCCCTCATATTTTGTTTCTTTTATTCTCATGCCAGGATGAAGATGATGGCATATGGGCATAGCATGCATGGCCCACACAGCTGTCCATTCTCCCTGTGTTACTGCATGGTAAACATGTTACTGTTATCTTATAGAGCAGAGCACAGTGCACAGGTGTGTGTGCGTGCATGTGTGTGTACGTGCGTGTGTGTGTGTGTGAGCGCATTTAGAACAGTTGTTCTATGGACTAACTGATCTGCCGACTTAATATTGCCAACCCCACTAAAAAGCTGCATCGCTGAATCCCAATATGGTCTCCCCACCTCCACATGTACCATTAAGCAGACTACATCTCGGCCCTGAGCTTAAATTGCAAGACCCCCGTCGCGACATGTATGGAGGCAGGGAGGCCATCTGCTTTTAAGTGAATCTGCTATATTTAGTCTGGATCTGTTAATCCGGGGATCAACTTTTTCTGAATGCCGTCTGTGTGTGTTTTTGTGAGTGTGCATGAATGAGAGAAAGAGACGAAAGGTGTGTGTGTGTGTGTGAATGAGAGAGAGAGAGAGAGAGAGAGAGGAAAAGTGTCTGTTAACTTTGTGTGAGAGAGAGAGAGAGAGAGAGAGAGAGAGACCCAAATGTTTTGTGGTATTATAAGCCTAAATACTCACAGCAACAAACCGATCTGAGTAAGTCTAGCCAGATCCATAGGGCTTAGACCAATATCAAAATTTTTATGCACTACTTCTTGCCTGACTCCCTTACCCTGATTTGAGTGTCTGTGCCTGTAAATTATGTTAATACTATCCACAGCTTTCCTGCACTTTGTGAGACCTTCTGCCTTAAAATATGGCATTTGTTAGGCATTCATTTATCTAAATTGTTGCCTTTATACATCTGTGATTTAAAAGAAAATTTGTTGCAAAATGGAGTTTTGTGAATTGAATAGAATACAATGCATGTATATTAAACAGGTTTACTTTTAATGCCTTCATAATTTAAGGTTTAATGCTTGACCCCTTTTTACATGTAGTCTTGTCAGCTTCGTATTTAAGCTTTTTTTTTCGTAGCACATTTTGAAAGTAAAATGATATATGAGAGCTTTGACATTTTACCCTGCTGAAAACCTGTTTTTAAAAAAATGTTTTTAATGGTTTATGTTTAAGTTTTCAGTCAGAGTTCATTTTCATGTGCTATTAATTACAAGTTATGTATACCCATTACAGGGCTGGCCTAAGAAGTAAACCAAGCAGTCTCATGCCCTTGACCTGCAGTGACCTTGTAAGCAGTGACCTTGACATACAGTGGCCTTGACATCCAGCAGCAGTGGAAGCTGCCTTTGCAGTATGTTTTACTGATTGAACAGCGCCAACTATTTCACAATTTCCTGAATTTGACAATTTCAGGAAATATAAAAGAACTTCCATCACTTATAAAGTAGGTTCTTTCAAAGCCAGTGTTTGCATTATGTTGCCCAAAGGAATGGCAAAGGGCAGAGCATCTTCTTTCCGAGGGAAAAAGATGACTGCAGCCAAAAATTGTTACTTCATATCTAGTAAAAGAAAATCACTAAGCTTAAACAAATGGTCATCAGGGACAGTCACTTCGAAAGTTCAAATTTATATGGCAGGTAAGGGAGAGAATTGATTCACAGGGGACCCAAATGAAAATGCCATATGAACAGAATAGCTAGCTTTGCATTGACACCTAAAAAGGGACTTGAGGCGACTTTTGGTGGGTTTCTTATAGTGAAAAAGTGATGTTCCAGAGACGAAACATGCCCTCACGTATGGTACTGTGATACTATTTCACCTTTGCCGATGTAGATTTCTGTTTGCTAGTGCTCTAGATAAAACATGTTTGTTCTTTCATGATAGATATAATTCTTAATAAAAACAGGTTGCTTTTGATGCACAATTTGCCTCAGATGTTTGAAATTCAAAATATGCAGCATTTTGTAAAGTGCTTCAGTTGTTGTCTTCATGGTTTGATTTCTTGCCTTAAGCAGTAGAGTATGAAAGATGATATGATGGGGTCCAAATAACATTGACATTTGTCTTCTCGGCCTAAAATTTTGTTTCTTTTTAACTTTTGACAATTTTTCTTGCCTCCTTACAAGGAAATGCTTGTATGTCAAAATATCCAAGTGAATATAGTATTGCCGCCATACTGGTATGTTTACACATCTATTTGGTATTTAAGTGGTGCCTTTTCACCAGTTATTTGAAAATCATTATTATTATTATTATTATTATTATTATTATTATTATTATTATTATTTGGTTTAGATACATGTCACGTTTTAGAATTTATTTGAAGTCAACATTATTAATGAAAATCGGGTTTAACCATGACATGCAAAATTACATTTTAGGGGTGTAACTGGTTTTACTCTTCTTACCTGGGGAAGTGCAACAATATTTTACCAATTATTAAATAGAAAAATTTTTTAAGTGAAATGTTAAATATCAATAGGTGCACATCATCATTTTTAGAAGTCCTATACACATTTATTAAGAAAGTTCAGAGGTAGTCAAGTATATTATTATAAACAGTGGATTTTAGTAAGATATTTACAGCAGTAGATTGGTGAAAATGTAAAACACATTTGTTGTCCTTAATATTTATGCCATTTATTTTTTGGAATTGGCATGTGACTGCCCAGAATGAATTAATCCCTTATACTTTTAACTACATGTACTGCTTGTCACTTGAGGAACAGTGCTTGCAATTAATATAATTTTAATGCCATTCAATGATCTGCATTGCCAAAACCTAAACAGAGTTATTGTCTTTCCAAAGAATCGACTCCCCCGTGCTACAGTGCTGTGTAACGGTATGCTTACTGTGTTGGTTAGTGTTGGTTATAACAACCCAGATTACCCACCGACAGGCGTCTCTGTTAGTCCGGTGGCTTAAGGAAAAAATCATGACACGGTGGATAAAAGCACCAAATTTTGCATGTGGGTACCTTTTGACATTCTAAATCAAATTAGAGCCGTAGCCCACGGAAAAAAATTACCGTTTGGCCAAAAAATCCAAAATGGCCGCCAATTTATTGAATTCTTTAGAAATATGTATATGCCTATGTTGATTTTTATCAAATAAATTATTTTCTCAAAGTTTTCCACACCCTTATTACCCATTTTATTCATATATGTCAAATAGCAAACAAGTTCCCTTGCACTTTTTGAAAAAATCCAAGATGGCTGTCATTTGCCATAGAAACAACCATAGGAATACTAGTGCACAACTATTACCAGCTAGAACGATACGTTGTCCACTGTCAAATTAAGTCTGCTTCTCAGATCTTTGTTACCCACATAATATGTTTGTGGTGAGTAACTACGAAGTGTTCTTGGGCATTTTGGAAAATCCAAGATGGCTGCCATGTGCCACAGGAATTCTAGTATACGGTGATTCAACTAATGGCAACTGGAAAGATTAATTTTTCACTATCAAATTAAGCTGGTTTCTGGGTGTTTTTCCACATCCTTTCTACCCACACAATATGTATGTGGTGAGTAACTAACAGTATTCTTGGGCATTTTGAGAAAATCCAAGATGGCCGTCATATGTAATAGGAATACTTATAGTATTACAAAGGGTTGGAACTAATGCCAGCTAATTCACTATCAAATAAAGTTTATTTTTTAGTGCTTTACACATTATTATTACACTGTGATACATATCTAGCAGGTAATAAATGTGCATATTTGATCATTTTGAGAAAACCCAAGATGGTCGTCACTGGCCATAGGAATACTACTGGAATTACAACTGCACATCCATGGCTTTTCATCTACTACCAGGGTGAATTTGTGTTTGCTTATCAAGTTTTGCCCATCCTTATTAGTCTTATGATATATATCTGGTGGGTAAATAGTGTGCATCCTTGGATATTCTGAGAAAAAGATACCTACAATTTAACATAGGAATACTAATGGGTGGGTTTCAATTGCTGCTAGAGAGGCATATGGTTCATTATACATTTACATTTCCATGGGTTTGTTTTAAAAATAATTTATGTTTTTCATTCCATTTATTATTACTCCTATGATGTATACCTGGTCTGTAGCATGTGTGTATCTTTGGGTATTCTGAAAAAATTCAAGATGTCTGCCTTTTGTCATTAGAATATTCGAACACATAATCAAATAATGCTAGAAATACACTGAGTACGATTTAAACGTAGTT